TATATATATATATATATATATATATATATATATATATATATATATATTTAAATAGCATCAGATCTCAGCAAATTTTAAAGGAAGAGAACCTTTTCAATCCCTGAAGTAGAGTTTAAAAATCACTTTTCAGCTAACCTTTAAGACAATGGCTTCTCCCACTATAATTTAACATTTGGATCCATCTACCATCCTACTGTTGAAAAGTGGCCAGATGCTAAAGATTTAAAACTGGAACACTGCTTTGTCTTTTAAATGTTTTTCCAAGTAGCTGACAAAGTGTTCTTTGGCAAAATAAAGGCAATCTAACTTATCCAAGCTGAACTTGACAGTACAGTGATCTGGTGTGATCCTGTTGAATTTTTTCTTCTGTAATATATAATTTCCTGTAAAGGGTCGGGTCAACTCTCTGGACTAACAGAATGACCAGCGGGTGCTTTGCAGGCCACTCAGCACCAGGCAGATATGCTCAAAAGCTCCACCACCATGGGGGCCCGGCACCCAATCAAACATGCCCATCAACACCCTAATAGCCCAATGGGGTTACACTCAGAAGCACAGCAGAGCATTTTTCCGCAGACGGTGGAGCTACGCCTCACTAGTGGACTTTGGGTGACAGGGCCCAAACCCGTGGTGCCCAGCCTCCGTGTCCTTATCGGTAGAACAGCCTTTCTGAGAATTACGTTCACAAAGTGCTTCAAACATAGAAATGTTCCCCAAGTGCCAATCTGTCATTGATACCATTTGATGACCATGATCAGTGCCCTTCTGCACCAGGGCACAGGGCCCCACCCTTCTGCTCCCTGTCCCATCAGGCACACCCACCTGCATGCCGATGATGGCATAGATGAAGAACAGCATGGCGATGAGCAGACACATGTAGGGCAGGGCCTGTGGAGACATACAGAGGACAGGGCAGCTCCAGGGAGGTGTGCCCAGCTACCTTGCTTGGGCCTCGTCTGCAGAGTGGACGGTGGCCGGGGCTCTGGGGCCACCCAGACCCCAGTGACCGCAAATCCACCCCCACTGACCGTGAAGCCCCTCCACCAAGAGACCGCCTCAGTTCCTTACTCTATAATTAGTCATAGAACCCACCTCTGAGTCATTGAGCATTACCAAGATGCTCTCTGGATCACTTAAAATGTCTTTGTAAACTACAATAGGATAACGGGTGCCAACAAGGAGCCTCCACGAGGAGGGGCTGCTCTGGTGGCAAGGAGGAGCTGGTGGCCACAGCACTGTGCATCACACAGTGGAGAGTCAGGGCACGAGGGCCGTGCCTGCGCTCCACTTTGAAGGACTGGACGAAGGTCCACAGCAGGATGCAGACGGTGTAGCCTTGGCGCAGCAGCTTGATGAGCCGGGCAGCACGGAAGAGGCGGAGAAACCTGAGGTTGATGAAATTGTTCTGTAGGGAAGAGAGGCTGTTCTCTAACCTGCGGAGACCAGCCTCCTGCAACTGCAGGTGCTGCTCCCCACCCACCTCTCCCTGTGGTCCTGAAGAAAAATGCATACGAAGAGAGATCGAACAAAATGTCACAGCTCTATGGTAAAAGCAGCAATCGGCCACCTGAATACCTTCCAAAAGTAAAGCTTGTCATTGCAAATCACCTCTCATGCAGCAAATGAAAGAAACCCCTCTGCTTTAGCCTCCCCTGCACCCAACAGGGAGGGAGAGAGAGAAAAATTCTCAGAAGCAGCTCCTTGCTGCCAGGTGGAGCCAGGAGACCAACTGTGGGTGGGCCTCTAACACTGACCGCCTCTTGCAAGATACAGCCAAGCCGTCCAAGTGCCGGGCAGGGCTGCTTCTTCACCAAGAGCCTCTGAAGGGCCCTTAGCTTCGCCATACGGCTAGCAAAGCCCCTGCTGCCTGGGACCTGGAAGAGGGGCAAACATCTCTTCTGGGGCTGCTCCTGGTGCCTGCAGACAAGTCACCATAGGAAGGGTAAGTGTCGGCGACCCTGCGACCCACACCACGGAAGCCACTTATGAAATCCGCAAATGGTCTCAACTCCAGAGATCCCAGGGTATCTAGCACTGCTCCCTCATCCAAGAGGTTCAAAATCAAGCACAAAAAGAAGCAATAAACTCTGGACTCCACAGATTACCTGGGAGGGAAGTTTCCACCCTGGCCAGGGGCGCCTTGAGTTATTGGCACATCCCTTTCAGGGAGCACGGCTCTGGACGGTGTCCACAACGTGGGGGTGCTTGTGGCCCTGAGCAGTCTCCCACCCTCTGTCTGCTTGGAGACCAGGTGCTCGCACGCAGCCTGACAGCAGCTTCCTGCCACTTTGGTGTTTCAACATATGCAAGCAGCTCAGGGTTAGACACATCGTATCACCAGATTCAGTGGTCAGATGAAGAGAAAAGAACACGGCATGTTGAATTAGAGCAGCAGTAGGAGAGCATATGCAGGAAGCATGGGGAGCCTGGGGAGAGCTGGCCCCCCTCCCTCCAGGGCTGCCCATCTGCTCTAGGCTGGGCTGAGGCCTTTCGTGGAGAGGCAGGTCTCACTCTTACTTCTAAGGACAGTGGCCCCAACCCAGCCCTTGTCTGCCTCTTCTGTTCCCACCGGGGTGGCTGGAGACTAGACTGTCTCTGCTAGAGGGCTAGATGTCGGAGCCATGGGGTGGGAGGTCTGGTAGTCACAGGAGGTGCTGACTGTGGTCCAGATCAGCAAGAAGGCAGGAGTGGACCTTGAGGTGTGAACCTGGAGGGCACACAGTTTGCCTAGAGCTCCCTCACCTGCTTGTGCTGGGGAAAGAGAATCTCACTGGTACAGGATGTCCAAGAGACATCCACCCCTGCCCCGTGGGCCCCAGGTTCTCAAATGAGCCAGTCACTTCAGGAGGATGGGCACAGAGATGGAAGGGGGACTTTGTCTACAGTGCTGGGAAATCCTTTGTACAAGACAATAAAGCAGAGGAAAGGGAGGGAGCTTCCAAGGGCCCGGCCTCTAAAGCACCTGCTCACTTGGGTCTGGAGGGGCCAAGACTGTAATAACACAGTTATCATTTGCCCAGTCCAAAGTGCTCTGCTCAGGCCACTGGCACAGACAAGAAGATTTCCTGGAGATATTGGGGAAAATCTAGGCCCTGGGTGCGAAAGAAGGGATGGAAGACAAGGCAGGGGAAGGCACTGTCCTTCCACATAGTGCATGAACGCAAAGCTCAACAAGTCACCTGCTACGTTTTGTTGAGACTCAAGTTCTCGCCCCTCTTCCCAGATGTCTTTTCTCGGGGCTCCAGTGGGCATTCAGGAGAGGGATGGGGGTGGCAACAGACAGACAGCCCTAGAGAGCCATGAGGACAGATGGCGACAGCAGCTACAGATAGTCCGAGCACGGCGTGGCAGGCAGAGCACTCCATGGCTGTGCCCAGGGCGGGAGCTGCCAGGCAACGCCATGCGAGCGCATGCAGGAAAGCAGGGGCAGCAAGCACACAGCAGCCTCCCACAGCTATGCATAGTCGCCTCTGGCCTCGGCCAACCCCTTGGAGATGGACATAGCTTGACCCATCCTCCCAGAGTCCGTGGTTTCTGTCACACCAGAGAGCACCTACTATTCCCCTACTACTTCAAAGCCAGGCCCTTCCTTAGTGCCATCTGCCTCTGCATCAGGAAATGTCAGAGCACCCCAAAGATGCATCACCACACCTCTCAATGTGGTAGCTGATTCACCTTGAGGGTACACTGGTCCCTGGCTCCTTTGAGCCCCTTGCTTCCTCATCCACAAGATGGAGACATTAGGACATTGTGCCCAGATGGTGAGGAGTCCGAGATTTAAGGGATTTAAAAGTACACCGGATATTGTTAAACATGGCCCCCACAAAGGGGATCAACAGGCCTCAGACCCGGATCAGCATCTCCTGCATCCAAGTACATCACTGTTTCCAGTCAGGGTCAAGCAAAGTGACCTGTGCACATCTGCTGGGGGCCACAGTCTATGCTGCAACAAACTGCTCTCCTAATCAGCTTTGTTCTCATGGGACAATTATGAAGAAAAGAAAAGCTCTGTATACCCCAACATGCGCAGCATGTCAGGTGATGATGTGTGCTCTGGAGGATGAGGAAGGGCACGGGGGGGGTGCTCTTCCCAAGTGGACAGGAAAAGGCCACGAAAAGGCCTGAGTGAGTGGAAAATTTCTGTGGCGTCAAATGGCGTTTTTCTCACAACTCAAGTTCTTCTGCTCCACTTGTGAATCACTTTATCGTTAATGTTCATTTTGTAAAAGGAATCTCAAATATTTGCTACTTTATGTAAATTTCCAGTCACACCTTCAGTTTAATCTGCTCCTGGAATCTTTGCTCTCCTCGCAAACATCCCTGAAGGCCTGGAAGGAAGCCCCAGTTCATGCTACCTGCATTCCACACGAGCTCAGTGAGCAAGGGTGCACAAGTGGATCAATGATGCCTGGGTGCAAGAGCCCTGAGCTTCACTGTCCCCGGGAGGCAGACCCTCTTCCCACTCCATCAGGCCTTACACCAACCCTTTTTGAATCATGAAGACAAAATCTCCAATCCCCTCCAGCCCTGAGACCCAGAGAGGGTTCCCTATGGTAGGGCATGTCCAGGGAGAATGTTACAGGAGACATCGTCAGAGGCCACCGGGGAGAACCAGCCTTGTATGTTGGTACGGTGGGGAAGGGAGCAGAAGGGAGACAGTGCAAGAGAACCCATGGACTCTGTAGGATCAGGTCCAAACTCATGTCCTACAAAAATCTCCCCAATTCTGAGCCCGATCCCAACAAGAAAAACTGGGCACTTAGCCGCTTCACTCAGAAGACCCTATACCTCCTCTCTAGACCCAAGGCCAGCTCCTGAATCTAGTGGCTCCTGGGAGGGCCTTCAGAAGCACCCGCTGGAGGCCAGGAGCCGAGAAAAAGAGGCCAGAGGCAATGAGTGTAATGCCAGACTGACCACAACCCTCAGGAAGGCAGTGGTGAGGGGTCACAGGAAATGGAAGGAAGAACAGGAGAAGAGCAAGCAAAGCAAGGAGTTTTAAGAACTGTTGAAAGTCATGAAACCAACCGTTTCCTATATGTGACATTTTCATGGATGGATATTTGCGTATTATTTACAAATTGGGATGTTTGAGCAGCAGGTGCGCAACATACAGATGGAGACATGGTTTTCGCGTTGTCTGTTGTTTGGATGGCATGAGTCAGCAGGTAGGTTAAGGTAAATCAAGAATAAAAACAGAAAACAAAAGAGAAAATGAGTCATCAACACAAGCAAAAACTCAAACTTTGAATACCTCACTGGAAAATTTTAGGATTTTAGTAAACTTTGCATATTTGGCTTAAAATGCATCAAATCAAAACATATTTTTGAAATCTGTAGGTTATGCAGACAGGGTGGCATTCATTTGTATTCCTGTTTCTAATGCAAATCCAAAGATGACTCACAGACACTTATTTTTTTATTTCCAGGCAAAGAAATCAATGTCAGTTTTATGCTTGCTTGGGAATGCTGTTTCTACATGACCCTGGTTAAGACTATTACTCTATTTTGATTAAGTTGGTGGTGGGAACTGACACTCATCTTTTTGCCTAAGGAAAAAAAAGTGCATTCACAAAGTAACATCTGAAGTGACTACAAATGAACAAAAATAAAGACACCACTAATCCACATGACGACTTCCTTTCATCTTTCCCCTCTCGGCAGAACTCGGTGAAGGACTGAGCTCCGAGAGTGCCAGCGGCCAGGACACAGCATAGTTTCCAAGCCAAGTGGCTCCTCAGCCCTCCCACCGACCCTGCTAGGCATCAGGGGCTGATGTCAGCAGCCATGGAGGACTTATTTGAAGCAACGTCTGATACAACCACAAGCCCCCTTGGCCTTGTGTGTCCAACAGCTGTGGGACAGACACTGGGCTACACCAGCCACCTGCGCTACAGAAGGTCTCTGCCTTGTGTGCGGGCCACTTTGGAGGTGGAGGTTTCCCTGCAAGACAGCTGGGTGTCATGCTCTCTGCATGTCTGGCAAACCCCACCCTTGATGGCTGCTCATCAGTCCGCCCTCTTGGGCGAGAAGGCACACACATGAAGAAACCCCCAGAGCTGGGCCCTTGCACACAGGAGCGCACTGTCTGGATCCCTTTATCTAGGGAACAAAGATGCCTGTGTCCAAGGACGGGGCCCGTAAGGATCAGCAGCCAGGTTGCTCCTCCCAGAAACCACACTGGTATGAACTATTTCTGGATGAGAAGCACTTGGCAATGCCACAATGCCAATGGTTGGTGTGACATAACATCCTGGTTTTTATGTGAAAATGGCAGCTCAGAACTTGCCCCGCATTATTTGGATTACTAATTTTTTAAAACCATAAAACATACCACATACACAAAAGAATATGTATAAATATGTGTACGGATGCACATTTTCAAAGAAAAATCATAGAATGTCCATA